GCAATGGCGCGGTCCGGGGCGCGCGGCCGTCGCGGCACACGGCGGTCGACGTGGCCGCACGGGGCGCGCGATCGGCCGCGCGGTATTTGCGGGCCATTCGGCCGACGCTGCCGGGTCGCCCTCAAACAGCCCGCCAGGAATGCGCAAATGCGCAATGCGCCAGCGCGCCGCCAGGATATCGCCCTGAAAAGAACCTGTTCACTCTGAACGCCGACTGCGCGCCTCGCTGAACCAGCGAAGTCGCGCGGCGCGCCCGCGCCGCGCACCCGCCGCAGTGAACTCGCGGGAAAAAGGCCTCTCTGCATGAGTTCTGGCACCGATTCTGGCCTACTTCGCCGTTCTGGCCGATTCTGGTTCCATCGCCGATTCCACCTTTGATTCCGTATTGATTCCGTACTGATTCTTTTGATTCCGCTAGAATCAGGGGTCGCAGTTGTGCCGATTCTGTTTTGATTCTGTACTGATTCCGTACTGATTCCTTTGATTCCCCTGTGCCCCGGAGACCATCAGGCCGCGGCCCGAGCTCCCGCCTCGGCGGCGTGGTTTTTCCAGGAGCGCGGAAGAGTTTTGAGGGGGAGGGGGGCGGGGGGGGGGGGCGGGGCGACTTTTGGGGCGCATCGGGCGGCCGAGCCACAGATTTCCGGGTCCAGTGCGCGCGCCCAACATGGCAGGCGCGGGCGCGCGCGCGAATTCTCGACCGTCGGCGCATCTGTAAGTTCATGCACCGCACCGCGCGCGGGAATGGAAACTTGCGTTGCGGTTTCAAATTGAACGCGCGGCCGTCGCAACTGCATCGCATTGCTCAGCGCGCAAAGCGCGCGAGCAGCATGGGGGGCTTTGCGTTCTCGCATTAGAAGTGCGCGGGACCGAACCGAACGGTCGGCGGCGCCCGCTCCTGCGCGCGCGCGAGGCCATCGCGTCAGCGCGGGAGGCTACAAGGGCCTGGGCCGTCGCCCTGGGGCGCGGGCGCAGCGCGAGGCCTGCGCGGGTCTCTCGCGCCAAACATGCGCAACAAGGTCGGCCCGCCCGCCGGCTGGCGCTCGCGGGCGACGACGCCAGCGCCGACTGCGAGGCCGACTGGGCCAAGAGGATTCCTGAGAGCCCCAGGAAGGGGCAGCGGGCCGCGATGGAATCGGCGCGGTCGTTGGCGCCCCCCCCGCGCCCGCCCCCCCCTGCAAGCCGACTCCTCCTAAGTAAGAGGGGCCTTACGCCACGTCACAGACGAGCCGTCGCTGTGCCACAACCGGAAAAGGTCGGACCCTTTGGCCCACCGGGCCCTCCGCCGCCAGCGACGCAGAGCAGACGCCCTGAACCGCGGCGCGCCCGGGTCTTCCGGAATCAGCAGAAAGATGTTCTGACACCGATCTGTTCGGTGCAGGGACTCCAGCCAAGGCAGGGCGCGAGCTGCTAAGGCGCGCGGCGGGTGGGCCCAGGCTCTGCGAGCGGTGAAACTGGCTTCGAACACTGTGCGCTCTGGGAAGAACCAGTCTGGCGCTTGGGCGCCAATGCCTGCGCGGTCTGCGAAAAGATCGACATCGAAAGGGCCGAACTTCCGGATGATGTCGTTCATTGCAGCATGCTTCAGAACAGCGTCACGATAGAGGTCGTCGTTCCAGCGGGTCGCAAACATGGAATCCCGCGACCCCTCGTCGCTGACAACATTGTGTTTTCCAGGTAAATGAACTGCCATGCACCAGCATCCGGCTTTTCGCTCTGCAAATTCGAAGGCCTCTGCGAGATCTTGCAGGGAAGGAACACGACCAAATCTGAATTTAATGTAATGAACTGCAGCGGAATTGTCGCACCTGAAAACGACACGCCATCCGCGGAGCCAGTCGCTGCCCTGTAGAAGAACTTGCTTGGCGACCCAGAGTTCTTTGTAGTTGATAGCGTCTGAATTCTCCGCGAGCAGACGAAAGTCATCCGGCCAGACGCCGGCGCGGACGATGCTGGCACCGCAGAGGTGGTAAGACCACCCGTGGAGCTTGGACGCGTCCGTCTCTACTACCCGGACACACCCAGACGAAGCCAGAGCGCGCCAGTTCGCAAAATCCTCTGACTTGGGCCCCCACCTCGACAGAGAGCCAGCTGCAGAGTGCAGGGGCCGGGTGGGAGTTAGGTCCAATGCTTTGATCCACCACTGAATGTGCACCGAGCAATCGGGCGTGAGCCGAAGCAAGGGGTCCGCAGCGGGGCTGTTTGCCCATATGGCATACACGTTGGACGAGTTCAGCAGAGACCAAATGTGGTGCAGACGTCGGCGGCCTTGAAGAAAGACTTCACTGATGTGTGACGCGAGCCCCGCAGCCGAGGCCAAAGCGCGCGCCAGGAGCTCTCCAGTGGCATTCGCTTGCAAGACGTCGCGGAACAGCTTGATGCACTTGTCACACTTCTTCTTTTCGACCGAAAGCTCATTGCGCGACGTATCAAATATCCAGCCCACCCACGTTTGTCTCTGCGATGGTTCCCGCAAGCCAGACGGCTTGCTACTGACGGGAATTCCGACGCGCAGGAAGAATCGCACGGATGCTGCTAGCTTGGCAGCGGCGTCTTCCCTGGACGGCCCGCTGCCCAGAAGATCGTCTACGAAATCTGTAAGGCATATGCCTTCGTGCACAACCAACATGCGCAAAACTTCTTTTGTATGTTGATCATTGATCCCGGGGGCTGGTTTGAGTCCCATGGGCAGATACAAGTATTGTCCGTATTGTCGACGCCCGGGAGACCAAAACCCAAATTTGGGCACGTCGTCTTCGTGAGCTTTCCAATTAAAGAAGGCATCAGCAAGATCCAACACAAAAAGCCAACTGCCAGGAGAAATTCTCGATAAGGCAAGATCGATTGTGCCGTACTGAACTGGGACATCTTGGACGGAATCGTTGACCCCGCTGCGAGAGAAGTCAACGATGAGTCGAGACTTGAATCTGTCAAACAAGCAATCGGATATGACATTGTCCCGCTCTTTAAGGACAAGGCCGCAAGGGTTCACGAGGAGACCCGCGGGGACCGAATCCCGAGGGAAGAAGCGAACTTTCCCTAGGCGCTCTAAACGATCCCATTCGTGCTCTGCGAACTCGACATTGTCAGTCAAAGACTTATAATTGGAGAAATGGCGGGCGGGAGCGGGCTTCGAGAAAACCAGCGGCCTGCCAAACTCCCACCAATGCAGGAAGTCGGGGTGAGCGCCCAAGTCACGGAGCACTTGGAGGTTCAAGCGGATACCGTCTGAGGACGAATACTTGGCATCCGCTTCCCGGATCTCTTGCCGCAGCTGTGCCACAGAATTTGACATGGACGCAAGCCAACGTGAAGCCTGCAGCGACGTGGGCGCCGACTGACTCGCGCGTTTGAGCCCAAAGCTTTGGCTACGGGAACAAGCTGCAATCTGAACGCAACAACCATGCTTGCACAGGCAGGCGCGCGCAGCGAACTGAAGCTGCAAACTGAAACGCGTTGTCTCAACCTGACCGAGACGCGACGGCAAGCTGAAGCAGCCATGGGCAGCTGAAGACCGAACACATGTACTATGCAAATCAACTGGCAGCGCGGGGGCGTGACTCCCCGACCAACGAACGCACTGAACGCGCCGTTGGTTGCCTGCGCCCGAAAACGGCCACTGAGCGGCCCAAGTTGTCCAGGCCCCTGAATGGCAAGGCACTCGCACACTGGCAGCGCGGGGGCGTGACTCCCCGGCCAGCAGGATGCACGCGAACGCGCCTGCTGGATGCCTGCGCCAAGGGAGGGAGTGCAGAAGCAAGGCAAAGGAGGTGGAGGGGCCAGGCCGGAACCCGTTGAAAGGTTCGCGCCGAGGGATGCGAACCTCGAACCTCGAGCATCGAGGCATCCTGGCCCTCGAGGGCCTTCGTCGTCGCCGCGGCTGGACGCGGCTCGGGAAACTGGTGCGTCTGAGCCTCAGTCGGGCCCCGTGGACCCATTTTGAGTTTGCGCCGAGGTTCGAACCTCGAACCTCGAACCTGAGCACACATGTGAGCGTCACAGCATGCCTGCCTGGACGGAGGGGGGGTCCGCACCCCCGTCCCCGTACGCTCGTTACCTTTACGGGGGGGGGGGGGGAAACCCCCCCCGTAACGGGCGTTGCGGGTCCGAGCAATAAAAAACAAGCTCTTAGCGAACATCCCCTCCCCCAGGCGACTGGCAGCCAACCAGGACCAGTGCCAATCCCCCCCATCCCGGTCAAAAACCAATACGAAGCACACTACGGGGCAAAACCTTGGGTCATGCTTCGTGGGCCCCGCGGCGGTGCCCTCGTGGCTCATCTGGCGCGCGAGGCGTGCCTAGCACGCTTGGGCACCAGGGGTGCCAGGCACGCCTGGAGCACCTGGCACGCGTGGCGCACCTCGCCCCATCGCGCACATGGGCCCTGCATTGGGTCCCAGTAGCTGCCCATCCATAGACGACTCGACCGCTGAGCATGCTGAGGACCAGGTGGTCCTTATACCAAGAGGCTCCCAAGACACCCCAAGAGGACTCCAGGAAGCTCTCGAAAACCATCCGATGAGACTTCGATTGGCATCCACGAGGACTCTGGCATTTCTGCTTGCCCTCCTCCTCCTCCTCCTCCTCCTCCTCCTCCACCTTCTCATTATCCTCTTCCTAATCCACCTGTTCCTCCTCCTTCCTCCTCCCTCCTCCCACACCCCCTCTTTCTGCTCCTCCTCCTCCTCCTCCTCCTCCTCCTCCTCCGACTCCATCATCCCTCTCTTGGGGTATGACGTCTTACCCACCCTTATATTCCACTGCATGCTCATCCCAATTCCTTGATCAGGGCAACTCGCCTGGCCATCATGTTTGGATGGGCTGGTGGGGTTACTAGAATTACGAAGGTGCGGAGATATGACGGATGAGGGAGGAGGATGACGGAGGACGGAAGGAGGAGGAGGAGGGGAAGGAGGTAGGAGGCAGAGAAGCTGAGGGGGGATGGACGCGGGCCGAGGGAAAAAACGAAGCTCAAGACATGGTGGATACGACGCGCGCAGAACCTGCGAGGGTGCCGCAGTGGCGGGCGACGTGGGCGCCGGCGACGGCTCCGCAGTGGGAGCCGACGTGGGTGCCGGCGACGGCGCCGCAGTGGCCGGCGACGTGGGCGCCGGCGACGGCTCCGCCGTGGGAGCAGACGTGGGCGCCAGCGACGGCTCCGCAGTGGCCGGCGAAGTGGGCGCCGGCGACGGCGCCGCAGTGGCCGGCGAAGTGGGCGCTGGCGACGGCGCCGCCGTGGGCGCAGACGTGGGAGCTGCCGACGGCGCCGCCGTGGGTGCCGATGACGGCGCCTCCGGGAGGGGGGGTACGGCGGCCGCGGCTGCGGCGGGAGGGTGGCCTGCGGAACCGGAGCAGGAGGGGGGAGGGGCAGCTCCAGAACGGTCTTCGCAAGAACGATCAAGAAGCTACTAAGCCTGAGTAAGGGGCCATGAATCTGGCCTTGCCAGGATTTGAGCCCAGGATTCAACCCGTTCAAGCAGGAGAAATTCGAACAGAACCAGGTCGGATTGGGCGTGTATACGCCCACTGAAAAATCAGCGCCGATGCTGAACTCTGGCGTCCCAGGAGCTGCATTCTAAAAGAGGCATGACGGAGGGAAGGCGAAGGAGCAAGGAAGGCGTGGCGAAGAGGAACAGGAATCGAATGGAATGTCCATGAGAAAGGGGAGCGCACGGCACTGAACCAACTTTATCCGCTGGCCCCCTGGGGGGGCCAACCGGCAGCGAGACCTAGATGTCCCTGCCCCGTGCAACAATTCCAATGCGAGGGTAATCAAGATGATACTTCTAGATACTGTCGCTCCACTGCTGGAGCGAGGCAAGAACGCGGGCAGGACAGGCCGGAACGAAACATGGCTTTCTCGGGGCCGCATTGCCCGAACTTCCAGGGCTGCCCTGGGACACGTACTGCAGGTTCGTGTCGTGCCGACCCCGGCGTTGGTTCCTGACACCGCGCTGGATCGTTCAACCTTGAACGATCGGCCGTCTCCGCGACGTCCGATCGTTCAACATCGATCGATTCTGGGTCGCCGGCGGCGTTCAACCTTGAACGCCCGCGCTGGGGTCGCCGTCGGTCGACACGACGCGAACCTACCGTACAATACTACAGGTCCGCGATCCCGAAGCCACAAAACCCACTGCAGTGCACTGACCACTCGGGCTCCCGAGGGCCACACCCCTGGTCCGTCGCCACGGCCTCGCGCTCCCCAGACCGCCATCGCGCCTGCACACGACGACGGGCTCACGCCCCCAGCACCGCAGCCCCTGCCGAGCGCCTCATCTCAGACGTGCGGCTGCTCCCATCATTCGTCCGCGTGGGCCCAGGAGGGGGAGGAGGAGGAAGAGGAAGAGGAGGAGGGGGAGGAGGAGGAGGAGGGGGAGGAGGAGGAGGAGGAGAGGAGGAGGAGGAGGAGGAGGAGGAGGAGGAGGAGGAGGAGGAGGAGGAGGGAGGAGGAGGGAGGAGGAGGAGGGGGAGGAGGAGGAGGAGGAGGAGGAGGAGGAGGAGGAGGAGGAGGATCAGGAGGAGGAGGAGGAGGAGGTAGAAAAAGAGGCTCCCCTTGGGGCCGCGCCTCCGCCGTCGCCACGCGACGGTGCCGAGGCCCCGCGAGGGCCACCCCCCCAGGCCGAGAGCCGGCGGAGACCGCCCGCGGCGACTCTGCTGGAGATGCGGCTCCCTGGGGGGGAGGGGTGCCTGGGGCCACCTAAAGGGGCCCTGGGACACACAAATAAATACACACAAATAAAAAGATTCCCCATATGTTCCCATATTTTCTGGGTTTTTGTCTTCCCCCCCACTTCCCATATTTTCCCATATTTTCCTGGGGATCGACGATTAATTGTGTCTGTGTGTTTTTTCCCCTCCTGACCACCCCGTAGCACGAGGGCAGCAGGGTCTTCACCCTCGTCAGGGTGCCAAAGGAAGAGCACCCTGCACGAGGGGGCCCAGGGACACGCAAATATAAAGACGCACAGATCCCAGGATGCTCCATATCTCCCTATATATTTTCCGGGTGTTCGTCTTCCCCCCCCCCCCTTCCCATATTTTCCGATATGTTCGGGGGAGTCGACGATTACTTGTGTCTGTGAGTTTTTTGTTCCCCTCCTGAATGCACCGTCGTGCACCGCTCCTAGCCGGGCTCCTCCTGGGGCCAGGGATCAGTGCATATACGCCCTCGTGGCTGGGCTGAGGTCGGGCATATCTCGCTACAGGAGGATTGTGAACGAAAAATCAAATACTCAAAACATCGTCCCCCGACTATTGTTTGACTATTTCTGAATACTCCTCATGTCGAGGGACACGCCCGACTTAAAGGCTAGGCCAGGGAGGCTTATACAGCGGAGGTCTGTCCACGAGAAACCTTCCACAGGAAACCCAACCCTGAGACCCCAGGACGTCCATTGAGCTTTGGCGTGGGGACGCCACGCCTTCCACGGCAAAACCATCGAAAGTCAAGAAACCCAGGGCACCCTGGAGGCGAGCAGGGTGTTTCTTGGCATGGGCCTCCACTGCACGCCTTCTTGGCTAGGCCAGGGAGGCAAATACACAGGTCCATGGCCCAGGATGGGCCTGGCCAGGATCGTTATGTGTGCATATCGGCGGCGAGCGAGGGGGAGAAGTGAAGAGGAGAAGGCCCCCTCAGAAGGTTCGGAAGCCCCCTGGCCTTCTGAGAAGTCTTCTGAGCCTCCCCCGAAGACCGACAAGCACTCCCCCGAAGACAGAGAAGCTCTCCCCAGAAGGCGCGAGGGCCTCTGAGAAGCCCCGCTGCCTCCTGAGAAGGCCTTTCTCCTCCTCACCTGCCCCCCCCCCTCGCTCGCCGCCGGGCCTGGCTCTCCGCGCCCGACGGGGCAGGCACCCCGCGGCCCCAAACGCGGCGCGCTGCGCCGCCCGAGAGGCCCGAGGGGTGTGCGACGCGCGGCCCCTCGCGGCAGGCGACGCTGCTCGGGCTCGTCTGGCCACCGCTCGGACGTCCATTCCCTGTGTTTTTGTTTTCGGTTTCGTGCGTGTTTTTTCTCGCCAGATGATCAAGGATGCTCCTCGATGGCCCTCGCCGAGAGAAAAATGCACACGTCCGAGCGATGCCAAGTCGTGGGCGGTCGCTGACTGGGGGGGGGCGATTACGGCGGAGGCCAGTCCACGAGAAGCCTCGCACAGGAAGCCCAACCCTGAGACCCCCAAGTGATGGGCGTGTTTTCCACCACCACCATCATAAGTTGGCGGGGGTGTCCTCCTCCTCCTCCTTCTCCTCCTCCTACTCCTCCTCCTCCTCGTCCTCCTCCTCCTCGCCCTCCTCCTCCTCCTTCCCCGCTCCAACTTATGGTGGTGGTGGTGGAAAACAGGCTCATCACCAAGGACGTCCATGGATTGTCTGGCGTGGGGACATGGGCGCGCTCCGTCGCAGGACCAGCGGAACTCAAGAAGCCTCCCGGGCACCCTGGAGGCACGCAGGGGTGCTTCTCGGCATGGCCCCCCCCCCCCAGGAGGAGGAGGAGGAGGAGGAGGAGGAGGAGGAGGAGGAGGAGGAAAAGGCGTCGATCAATGGGGGAGGCGATTCCGCGACGCCCCAAATGGAAAGGCGTCGCTCCATGGGCGAGGCGATTCCGCGACGCCCAAAAACTCCACATCAAGCGGGCTGCCGTGTCGATCACAAGCCTGTCGGAAACGACCCGGATAGACACGGCAGCTCACTGTCTTGAGATGTGCAGATGCTACAAGCGTCGGGGGGTCCAAAGGCTGCTTCGAGAATATGTGGCGGAACGCCGTCTGCCTGGCGAGCCGCCATAACCCGCGTTAACTCACACATGTACCAGAGCCTGTGGTGGATCGTGCGCCATTCACCATGCTGACACAACCCGTCCGACAAGAAGCCCGAAGCTACGCTCGGCCACTGGCCCACCACACATCGCATCCACAGCTCTTGGTAACGTCAGTGTGATGTCCGGCGTGCCCCTCTACAGGCGGATTTTGGACGACAAATAAGAAATGGTCAGAACATGCTCCAACAATAATCGAACAATCGTCCCTGTGCTATTTGTTCACTATGTTTGAATATCCCCCTGTCAAGGGACAGGCACGACTTGACCTGCGTGTTTCTTGCTGGGTGCTCGGAAGATCCGCGGGCCCGAGGCCCGACCTTCCCCCCAAAACGAGAGCAAGCGCGGCCCTCGTGCCTGGAAGGTGCCCAAGCTGTCTGGCCTCAGGTCGGGCGTGTGGTTTCGGCAGATCCCAGAGCCTAAGAAGCTCCGCCGCTTTCATCAAGGAAAGCTGCAGGCGAGTCGCAGCTGTCCGAGACATGCTGCCCCACTGGATCGCTGGCGCCAAGGCAAACTTCGCACTGCTGCATTCAAATTAAAACAATGTTAGCAATGAGGGAGACGCAACCGTGAGAGGACGAATCAGAGTTACACTTTACCCCATGGTGAATTGGTCATTCCGAAGCACTGAGCTAATGAACTTACATCCCTAAACTACTTCCAGGGGCAATATCCATTCTGGTAATACTCTTGGTCATCTTCCTGCGCGGGGTCGGAAAAGGAAACGCAGAGCGGAATCGTGGAGGAGTGAGGGGGATGAGGAGGAAGGAAGGATGAGAGAGGAGGGGCAGAAGGATGAGCGAAGAGGAACGATGAGGATGAGATATATTTGTACATGGGCAGGCCGACGAGGGCACCAGCACGACGCAGGCGACCGCCACCAGCCTTCAGAAACCTCCGAGAGCGTCTGGAAGCGTGCGAGAACCTGCCAAAGCAGTCATGAAAGACGACGACAACGACGGCGGCGGCGGTGGCGGCCGGGGCCTCCGTGGTATTGGAATCGTTCGAGCCCATTTTCGGCGTGCGCTTTCCGAGTTTCTTGCAGGTCCACTCCTCGCCGTCATGGGTCCTTCTTGGGGGGGCCGAGGAAACCTCCAACTCACTCCTCCCCACCCTTCCTACCGTCCCTCCTCCCTCTTCACCATCCTCCTCCTCCTCCCTCGTTTTTGTTCGTCCCTCCTCCTCCTCCTCCT